TTGCCCCATTGTCTCAGTTTCTCCGTCTGGACAACTTTAAACATAGAAACACTCAACCTAAGGCTGTGACTTGCCTGAGCTGGGTCTGGGGTGCTGGGGGCATGTCCCCAGGGCGTGAGCCAAGACACATATTCCCCACTGCAGTGGCCCTTTGCCTCCCCACCTCCCCGCAGCTCCCTGCAGCACTGTCCCACTCCCCCACCCTCCCTGAGACAGCCTTGCAGTGCCTACCCCACTGCCCTTGGGGATGCTGATGAGCTCTTCCAGGTAGGTCTGGTCCTGAGTGCCAGGGTGCTGTGGGGGCTTGGGGCTCCTGCCAGTGCTGTAACTCTCCTCTTGGCCCCTGTTCAGGGACCTGGTGAGGCCTGAGTGGGACAAGGAAGAGGAGGGGAGGTGGCAGCCTGCCATGGGGACGAGGACATTGGTGGGCTGGCAGCCCTGGTACCAGCTTCCTCCAGTCCCACCTGACCCTGCCTAATGAACCTCATGGGGGACAAGCACCAGTTTCCCAAGAGGGCCATGACAATGACTTTATGGGGTCTATCAAAGGCTACCCAAAGGGATCAGATGCCACCTCCTGCTCAGGTGCCTCTAAAACCCTTGGTCTCAGCCCCGTCTTCTCCAGTCCAAGAGCCAAGTGCGTTTCTGGGCAGCAGGGACAGGAGGGGACCCTGCCCCAGCTCCTGCTGCTGGATGGGCATTGGGTGAGGGCAAGAAGCTGGTACTGGTCCTAATTCCCCCTCTGCAGCCCACCTACATCCTGGGTATAGGTCGAATCACATTCCCAGGCTTGAGGGAACAGAGGATGAGGCAGGTGGGGAATCCAGGACAGGCTGGGAGGGATGGTGCCCACTGAAAAATGGAGCACAGCAACCCAGGGTGGAGGGAAGGGGGTCTAGGGGGACAACAGGAGGCACAAGGGGACCCAAGAAGTGTTGTAAGACTCACCTGGTTCCAGTGATGCCATGGGTGGACCCGGTCCAGCCACAGTGCTGAGGCTCCCTGATTTTCAGCACTGAGTGCAGTGCCGGTAGCCCAGCTTTTAAAGGACCCCCCGCGGTTGTGTCATTCCCCCGCCCTCCCTCAGGAGGAGAGGAGAAGGATAGGAGAAGGAAGTGCTCCTTCCCTACCCCTATGAACACAGAGTCTCGGTTCCCCCCCGGTGCCAGGAGGCCCCTTCCCTCCCCTTTGCCTCGCACACGTGCAAACACGAGTCACCCTCACTGGGGCGTGGGAAGATGTCTGCATGTCACTCTCCATCACATGCCAAAGGCTCTGCTTGGGTGACTGGGGGGACAGGGGAGTGTCCCACAGAGCAAGAAGGGAGGGCTGGCCCCACGGGAGTAGGGGAAATGCCATAGAAGTGGGAGTGAGGAGGAAGCAGGCACATGTTGCATAAGGAGACCAAAATGCACCCTTAGCTGCTGCGGGAAGCACCCAGCCAGGCAGGCTCTGTGGCACAGGGCGCTCACATCACCCTCGGGTGCAGGGACCCTCCCTCCAAAGATGGGGTGCCAATGTTGCAGTGTCAAGCCGTGCCAACAAAAGTGGGGCACCCCATCCCCAGGACCCTCATGGCTGTGGAGGCAGAAGGGGGACCAGCTCAGGTGCTCCTGTGGGTGCCTGGTTGGTACCAGCTGCCCATCTTGGGGTACCCTTCTGCCGGCCAGGCTGTGTCCCACAGGGAGGTGAGCAAGGGGTGTCCACAGGGATCACGTGGGGTGGTGGCAGGCGCAGGGATCTGAGCCTGGCCCTGCTCCAAAGTGCACCCCAGGCACCCTCCACCCCCTAAGGAAGGGCTAGAACAGCTGTGAGTGGCAGAGGGTCCCACCCAGAAGGCATGATAGGGCTTTAGCACACAATTCAGCTCCACCTGCCCTCCCTGAGCCTCAGTTTCCCCAAAGCAAACGAGACTGGACAGGCAGTGCTGGCTGTTTTATTTGCTGTCAGCTGGAGGGTGGCCAGGTGGGGAGTTGGGGAGGGGGCTGGTAGCCCCAGTGGAGGCAAAGGGGGTCCCAATGGGCCGCTGGTAGGCAAAGAATTCTGCAGCAAAGGAGATGGGGTCCTGTGGCTGCTGGAGGAGCAATGCCCGTAGGAAGTCAGACAGCAGTGCCCGGACCTCGGGGTGCTGCTGGAGGTAGGCAGCATGGGATAGTTGCAGCTCCTCCTGGAGTGGGGTGGACAGGGTAGGTGAGATGAGCATGAACACACATTTCCCCCCTGGGCAGTGCCAGGCTGAGGGGGACAGGAGCCTGGGTCCTTTCCCACACTTAAGAAGGTGTGAGGAAGGATGTTGGTCAGCCTGCCCCCTCAATGTGCCTCCTGGGCACACCAGGGGAGGCCCTGCTGGAGACTAGCACAGCCCCATGTCCCCTTGTCCCCACATCCACCCATCTTACCTTCCTGTCCAGGAAGCAGGAGCAGAGCTGGATGTCCTCCTCCCAGTCCCGGGGCTCTTTGGGGAAGGGGAGCTGGGGCTCAAACCTACCTAGCAGCAGAAAGGCAGGGCAGGGTGTTCCCCCTTGACTTCCAGACAGCGGGCAGGGGCAGCCCATGCTGGGAGGCACAAGCCTCACCTCCTCAGTACCTGAATTGATGAGGATGGACTCATCCTGTAGGAGCATCAGCACTGGGGAGCCAATCTGCATCAGCCGAGCCAAATGCCTGAGAGGGGAAGAGCCCTTGACCTCCCCATCCTGGGTCCCACCAGACTGGCAGGGCTGGGGTGTCTCTGATGGACCCCTGCCCTTACCCGTTGGGGAGGAAGCTGCTGTGCCAGACAGTGGAGGCGCCTGTGCTGGTGTGCACGGCTCGCTCGATCACAAACACCTCTGTCTCTGCCGAGCCCACTGCCTGCCGCTGGATGCCCAGGGCAGACTGGGGGCGGTACACCCAGGGCTCAGCCTTGTCTCAGTCACCCCTGCCCCCAGGTGCCATCCCCATGTGTCCCCTCATGCTGTCGAACACATTCTGCCCACTCCCACTTCCCACATCCCATCCTGGTTAGCCCAACCTGACCCAGATGCCCCCATCCCACAGGCCCCCCTGGCGGGTGGCTCACATAGCTGCAGGTGGAGAGGTCACCCTCGGTGTTGATGGCTGGGAAGACAAGGTCTGGGGGCATTGTCTGCCGGCGTGCCAGCACCCGCAGCAGCAGGAGGCTGGCACCCTCCAGCAGCAGCCCCCGCAGCTTGGCCCGGCTGTAGTGGAAGCTCTGGCACTGTGGCTCTGCCTGCAGAGGGACCTGGCTACCTCACAGCTCCAGCATCCCCAGATGCCTGGTGCACCCCTGGGGAGACACGCCAGCTGTGCTGCCCCCTCCCAGGATGTGACCCTACCCTCAACCTTACCTCTCCCTCCTGCAGGGTCTTCGTGACAGTCATCCCATGCTCGTGGCTCACAATGTGGGTCGTCTTCTCTGTGGGGTGTGGTCTGAGCTGCGGGAGGGGTGGGAGGCACGGGGTGGAGGGTAGAGCCAGGGCACCCCCTCCTCTGAGGCGGCACTCCCCAGCACCGCTGTCAGCCGGGGTACTGTACCAGCTGCCACTGAGGGGATGGGGACCAGCAGAGCTGGAGTCCAAGCACGACAAGGGACACCAGACTACCCACAGTAGCTTTGCAGGGTGCACAGCCCCCAGGAAGGTGCCACTACACGGCACACCCCAGGCCCTGCAGGGCACACCCCAGGCCCTGCAGGGCACACCCCAGGCCCTGCAGGGCACACCCCAGGCCAGCGGGTAGGACACAGGGAAGAGGACATGCCACCACTGTATCAGTCACCTCCAGGCACTCCTGCTCCTCCTGCTCCAGGGTCTCCAGCTGCCAGGTCACATAGGCTGGCAGAGCAAAGCCATGCTCAAACAATCCCGTCGTCACTGTCCCTATTCCCCGCCCTGGGGGCAGGTGGGCAGGGATGTTCCAGCCCCGGGGAGAAAGGAACACCCCAAATCTACCCCCGGCTCACCTTTGAGCGTGCTGGAGGCAGGCACACCATCCCGCTTGCCTCGGAACCTGGTTTGCACCAGGACGCAGCTCTGCATCGGCTCACCTTCCCGCTGGTAGGGTGCCCACTGGGCTGCCATCCACCACTGGCCCTCTGCCTTGTCCCTTGGTGAGGCCCCCACGGCCACCACTGCCAGCGTCTCAGCAAACAGACACCACTCCAGCTCCTTCAGCCCTGCATGGAGAGATGGTGACCCTGACACCGAGGGACAGTGACCGCGAGGAGACGGTCACTCTGGTCACTCTCTCCCGGAGAGACTGTCACCCCCCTGTCTCCATTTCCCCCACCCAGGCTGGGCCGAGCCCCTGGGTGCGGCGGGACAAGGGGAGGCTGGAGGGGGCACGCACCGATGAGGCTCAGGAAGTCGGCAGCAGCGTCCGCCATGCTCGGGGCCTCCTGTGAGCTCTCGGGAGGGGGCTCCATGCCTCGCCTGGGGCCTCCTGCTGCCGGACCCTCGGGTGAGGGGTACCCCGAACCGCGGTGCCCGCCCCACGCGTGACCCTGGGGGTCAGTGACCCCCGCCCCGCCTCTGCAGCCCCCAGCCCCTGTGGCCCCCGTCCTCCCCCCGGCCGCACCGAGCCCGCTGCCCCCGACGCCTCCCCGTCTCCCGGGCAACGCCCTGGCCACACCTCTTAAAGGGGCCGCGCCCCGCCGCGGGGTTCAGCGCCGCCGCGTCCCCGCCGGCGAGGAGAGAAAGGGACGAACAGGTGTAAAATCGATCCAGTCTTTTATTTGGGGCGTGGGGGTGATTGTGGCTCCGATTCCCAGTGAAGAGGCACCCCCCGTGCCCCAGCAGTATGTCCCTATGGCCCCGTTCCAGTGTGTGTGTGTGTACGTACAGGGGGGGCTCCGGATGGGGCACTGGAGAGGAGCCCCTCGCCTTGAGGTAGTACTGCCGGCCCGCCTCCCTTGCTGGCTCCATCCCAGCCCCCACAAAGGAGATGCACAACACTGGGGGCTTAAGGGGAGGGGGCTGAGTGGTGCTGGTGGTGGAGGAGAAATTGTAGACTCCCAGAAAAATGGGGGGGAGGGGGGGAGGGATTGTAGGAAAAAGCCCTTGGTGCCATTCCTATAGCCCCAGCAGTGAAGTGGGGGGCTACAGACCCCCCGAGAGGGGATTGAGGTGCTTCTATATGACAGCTGGTGACCCCCAAGTTTGAGGGAGCAAAGGCAGGGATCACATATGGGGTGCCCACTTAAGGGGGTGTCCACTCTTCCCCCTGCCCCAACCCTGCACCGCAGGAGGGAGATTCACAGCAAAACAAACCATACAGTCTTGGCCCCCTTGTGTCCAACCATCACCCGGCCCCGTGGAAAGGGGGGATCCAGGGAGTGGGGTGGGATCTAGGTGGCTTGGTAGAGGTCCTTGCGCCTCCGCACTTCTTTGAGGACGCGGGCACGAAAGGCGTCCGGGTCCTCCCCCATGCCCTGCCACAGTCCTAGTGCCTCCTGCAGCTCTGGCCGGTGGGTACGCAGGAAGGGGTTGTAGGTCTGCTCTTCCCCCAGCGTGGAGGGGCACTGTGGGGGCAGCTGCTCAGCTCCCCTGCTGGAGCCTGCAGCCCTGGCAGGGAGCTAGGAATGCCTCCAGCCCCCCCTGCCCCTATGGCACCCACCATGCAAGAGGGTGTTGGGGTGCAGCATCCCTGCCAAGGGAACCCTGTGAGGGGTTGGGGTGGTGGGTGCTGCACACAGGGACCCCCAAGCCTCACCGTGCTCCTTTTCTCCTGGCGTTGCTGTACTGCCCACTGCAGCTTCTGCTCCAGTGCAGAATTGTCCTGCTCCAAGAGACTGGCAAAGGTCAGGCACTCCAGTGCATATTCATGGCCTGTGGACCCCCATACACAGCCCTTAGCATCACCCCCACCCAGCTCTCCACCTCGGCAGTGGGGACTAGAGGGACACCAGCAGCTCTGCCCTGCTGCTGGGGACACTCACCTGGCCAAAGCAGCGTGTCCTCGCCCAAGCCCATGGCCACGTCCAGGGAGGCAAGCATGGTCTCAGGGGAGCCCTCAAACGGCCTGCCTGGACCCCCACACAACCTCATGTCATGGGGAGGTCTGGGGGTACCCCTAAGCCCAGCCCAGGATGGGATAACCCCCCAACACCCCAACCCCTTGTCTGGAGTTGGGTGCACTCACCACAGCCAGCAAGGAAGAGGAGGTCCCCGGAGAAGAGGCAGGGGGGGCTGCCCAAGGGGCCCCCATCCAGCACATAGACCATGTGTCCCACAGTGTGGCCAGGCGTGGCGAGCGCCTCGAAGGTCAGGCAGCCCACGCTCACCTTCTCCCTGTCTGCAAGTGGGCTGTGCCGGGAACAGGGGGCACCGTCAGGGTGCTCCCCCCAACCCCAGCACCTCAAAATACGCACCTCCCCTGGCAACCCTTCCTGCACACTGGTGTCAGGAGTGTGCCAGCTCTCTGTCCAACGTGGTACTGGGGGGATGGACTGGTGGGTGAATGCCGCAGACAGTGGGGGTTGGGAATGAAGCACCACCCCCCGCCCCGCCCCCCCCAAATTTACAGGGGTGCTAGGGGGGTGCAGGACTTACTTGGTGAGCTGTGGGATGGCATCGAGAGCGCTGCCATACACCTTGCAGGAGCTGTGCTTCTGGCAGAGTGCCTCGTTCCCTCCGCTGTGGTCCCTGCAAGACAGGGAGGTCAGAGACCCTAAATGTACACCCCCATACTCCCCCCAACTAAATGGGGCAGGGCTGGGGCAACCTTCACAGCAGCTACCAACCCTTCCAGGGCCACCTCTTGCCCCTTACCAGTGTTTGTGTGTGCAGAATATGGCCTCCAGCATCACCCCCTCTTCTTCAATGGCAGCCTGGGAATGAGGGGGAAATATGGACAGAGATTAGGGGGAACAGAGAACCTAAGTCCCAGTTTCCCCCTAAACCCTGTCTACCCCAGCTCCCTTGTCATGCTCCAATCTTGCTTTGGCCACTAACAGCTGCAGGTTAGGGGCAGATTTGCTCCCCTCTATCCCCAAAATACAGAGACGTGTCCTCACTTGGAGACAGCCAAACACCAGGTCAGAGTGGTTGTGGGGCTCTCACCTGTACAGCCAGTGGGTCAGAGGGGTCGATGACGGCCGCATGGCTGGAGCCAGTGTCGATGACCAGGTAGCTGTAGTTGTTGGAGAGCACAGGAATAGGCAGGATTTTCACCCCTGGGGAGGAACAGACAGAATCAGGGCATGACGCCCCTGGCTGGAAAAGAGGGAGTCCAGGCCAAACTCTCCACAGCTTACATCTAATTCTTAGTTAAACATGCTTCGGGCAATTCGGTGATGGCAACCCCTCCCCACCCCAAAGAGCCAGCGCTGGGGGACACTGCAGGGCCGTGGCATGGGAGGGACTCGCCAGGACTCACCAGGGAAGCAGTAGGGCTGGGGCACGGAGTGGCCGTGCGGGTACCGCTCCCGGGCCTTCTTCACCTGTCGCTGGTAGAAGAGGTAGCCCAGGCGTGTGCGGGCGTACAGGCTGTACCTAGGGAGGGCAGACACCCCCAGGCATTAAACCCAGTTTCCCTAAGGAGCCCACTTGGGAAGGGGGATACTGCCGAGGCTGTGACTCACACAGGGAGCACAAATAGGGCCACTTTCTCATTCGGGGAGGCTAGAAGTGGTGTGTGTGTAGTGAGGGCTGAACAGCCCAGATGTGTAGTGAGGGCTGAACTGGTTCCCCAAGCAGGCACCCTCCAGCTGCACTGAGCAGCAAGGACTGAGGGGGCGTTGCTGCGGGGTGCTCACCAGGAGAGGCTGGAGCGGGCTGTTCTTCCCCATGCTCCGGGGGCCATATGCTCAAGCTTGACATGGTCTGGGGAATCAGGGAAGGGAATGAGCCGAGGAAAAGGGAGGCAAGAAAAGCCCCCGTGCATGTGGGGGTGCAAAAGATAACAGGCTGCGGGGCTCGGAGGGAGCTCCCCTTTTGCACAGCAGCGATATGGGACGGTACGGGGAATGGTGCAATAACGGACACGTAAAGTGGCGGGTTGCAAAGCCCATTCCCGGCCGAGGGCACCCCTGGATGGCACACCGGGAGCGATCCCTGCAGTAGCCGAGGGTCCCCTGCGTCTGTGGCGGCGGGAGCTCGAAACCGGGGAGCAGGGGCTCCTGCCAGCACCGGGTAGCCCGACCACAGCCGGGGCACCGGGGCAGGTCCGCGGTGACACCCGAGAGGAGGCGCCCCGCACGGGAGGGTGACCGGCACCGCGCGGGGGGAGCCGGTGCCCGATCCCCGGCCCCGACGGCCGGGCTGACCCCGCCCGCACCCATTCCCCCGGCGGGAGCGGGCTGAGCCGCAGCCCGGTCTCTCGATGCCGGCGCGGCCGCAGGTTCCTCCCCGGGCGGCTCCGCACAAGCAGGGAAGGCTGCTGGGCCCTCCCTCGCGGCGGCAGCACAAAGGCGGGCGGCGGTGGCTGCCAGCCTGCCCGCGGGGGGCCCGCAGCG